GCGCACTGCTGGCTGCAAAACTACAGTACACCCGCCAGAGAAAAAACAGCATGAAATACGTTGTTTGTTCCTCCCTTTCATGGAAGCACTGTTCTGTTGCTTGTTAAGGAAATATCTTATGGCTACCTGCAGTACAGCAGCAGTTTATTGTAGAGCAGCTACAGGGACGACATGCTCCGCATCCCACCAACACCAACCAACACACAATCTTCTACAGTCATCTGACTCCCAAAAACCCTCTGGCAGAGCATTTAGCAATACTATCGCTGCTTGGTTGCCATATTTTCATGAATCGGCAAAGGTTGTCCCGTGTTCAGTGCTTTGTTTGCATAGTCTACACACAACGTGATTCAAAAACTGTAGGTACGTCATGATTTGCGCTGCATTTCCTCGCCTACCCTACTCAACCCCGANCCTTTACTCAGCTACAACGCCTCGCTGAGGGGGTGGGTATGGCACATGGGAGAGGGGAAAGAGCGAGAAAAAGAAAACGAAGCCGTTGTTTGCTTGGTGCATCTTCCTTAGTTTGATTACTCGACGCACACTCACTGCCATCAAAGGAGTTTACGCTCTACTCCCACTATTGGAAGCAAGGAGGGCGGAAAGCCCAGTGAAGATGGAAACCCTGACGTACAACATCGACCACCGTTTACCACCGGCCGAAATGAATTTGGTCAACACTACCAAGTCTTTGGAGCCCAAGCCCTCCTCTCCAAAGTTTTGTCACGCAGCAGTGCGTCATAGGGTGCAGACAGACTTGCAGAAGGAAGCAGGCGAGGAAACGTCAAAGAAGAGGGCATTGATCCGCTTAGAGGAAGCCAAAGGCAAGAAGGTTTTGTCGTGGTTGACAACACCAGGTTGGCAGCACATGAAAGAACGCTGCCTGATCTACATCGGGAGTCAATCAGTCGTCTACTGGGGAGTCACGATCGAACTGCTGTTAGTAAACTTGATCGACTTCATAGGTCGCGACGGAAGGGATTGTTGTGCCCTTCTCGCCATCAAAATATCTCAGGCAGGAACCGCAGGAGGGGGTCCAACCCCCCCCTCCTGTGTGACCCCGGGCGAGTCGTCTAGTTGGTAGAAGTAGAGGATAGGGGGCAGGGGGGCAGACGACAGAGTCCAATGATGGGAGAAAAAAAAAGAAAAGACTGCGAACAGACTGCGACGCTGGCAATTTTTGTGTTGCGGGTGCGTTGATACCATGCAAGGACCGCCTGAGCCGAGCCCACTCCCTCGTCTGCACCAAGACCGGCGCCTCAACCTTCCTCCATAACAGGATACTTCGGGTAATCCTTAAGACACTGCGCGAGGTACCATATCCCATGGCTGTTGAAGATTCTTCCCCTTTTACCACAGGCGCTGGTAGGGGAAAGGGGCTATACAACATGGATTTGGTAATTCCCCCAGGATTACAGGCAGGAGAGGAGAAGAGGAACTCTGCACCAAGTCCATTCTTTAAGATGCTACTTATCGTAAACCCATTTGCAAATCGAAGCATCGACAAGTCCATCCAAACGACAGAATCCGCCCTCGAACATCGACCTGCAAAGCCAAATCATTATGCGGGAACATTCAACCCGTCTAGATCTACCCTCCTTACTGCTTCTTTTTCAACGTATGGTAGTCTTGGCAAAGGCACCAATCGATTCATCGTTGCTTTCGCCAACCACTTGGAGCATGAAGTTTTTTGCCGGGGGAATATCGACGGCGAAAGAGCCTGAGTTCGCCTCAAAGCTTTTCACCGTAAATAACAGGATTCCGAGACGGTTTACCTTCGAGCTAGCTCGTTTTCTGTCGATGCGAACTCGCAATGTGTTCAAACTTCATGGGCTACTGATCGACCAACTTCCACCAGGGCCAATCGGTTGGGATCTCTGCGACAANGAGGATCAGAATGGTGGTGGCGACAACAAGGAGGAAAATGGTGAAAGTACTCCCAAACGAACTCGAGTACAAGGTGATATGTTATTTATGCCCTATTTTCCTATTGTTTTCGTGGAAAGTGAGCCCTTGTTCATTAAGAACAATTTTCTTACTCGGAAATACTCTCTGCCTCCGGCTGTCGCATAACAACCGAATTCAGATATTGTGCGTCTCTGCTCT